CCAGGCCCGGCTAGGCCTCCCCCGCAGGGCGTCCGGAGCCCGGCAGGCCGCAGCGTTCAGCCCCCTCAGCCCCGGGAACTCCCCGCATCTCCAGCAGCGCCTGAGGAGCAGCTTCAGCTGGGGGCCCACTGGGTGCCCTCCCTGCACCCCCACCCCAGCCAGACGCAATGGTCCCGGTGTTTCAGAGCTTAACTGGGTGCCACTGGGCCCTGTTCCCGCCCATGGCGAATCCTGTGTCAGTGCGGCGCCGTGCACATTGGCTAAAACCGACCAAAACGTGGGCCCGTTGGTTTGCCTGGACGCAACCAGACATGGCATCGTTGGAATGTGGCTGTCTCAGCTGGGAGAATGGCTTGCTGGGAAAAAACTTGAGATTATGGAGATTCTGCATTTCAGGGATAAGAGATTTTCTGCCCAAGATCCTTGGCTAATGGAGTTGGCAAGTCTCAAGAAGATTATCCTCTCCAGTGCTCCCTAAGAGCAGTCTGAAGCTGAAAGCTTTCCGAGCTTGACTTCCTTGGAAAAACAGAAAGTGCAGAGGATATGTCATGCAAAGTTGCCAGTACTGGCTAAAAATAGGCTGCACTTCCAATAATATTGCTTGCTCCTACTTGCATGAGTGGGAGTATCTATGAATTTCCTTTCCTTCTTGTGAAAACCTTTCACTTTACAAGCAGACAAGGGCATTTCTTTTCTCCCTATCAGGGTCATTCCCCGTAATGCTTATCTGAGTCGGAGTCAGTGTCAAATTAGTGGCTGTGAGCTGCCCTTGTGATCCCTCTGAGGGCAGGGGAAGAAGCCTGAGCGCGAGGGAAGCTGTGACAATGTTTACACCACAGTGCAATTTCTGTCCTATCCACTGCCTCACTGGATGACACAGGAATATTTACATTTATGCAAATTATGGGAAGACAAGGAACAGCCATGTCTTCCTGGGCATGCTCGTTTTCTCAAGGCGTCCCTTTGCACTTCTCCTTTTTGGGACATATGTGTTGCTCTGTCTGCATCCCAGCTTGGAAGTCACTGTGAAATCCCACAGCTCTACCAGCAACCTGCAGCATGGCTGTTTGGCTCCATAAATCTGAAGAAGAGCTGGAGGCATCTGCTTGGGGCTCAGCTGAGAACTTGGGGCTCTTGCTACAACGCAAGTCCTTTGGATTGCAGGAGTCATCTTCAGCTCCCACAACACTGAATCTCGCTCTCCTGATG